TTTTTTTTTTACGAAGTTATAACAGTTTAAAATATCGACAATTTTTTCATTATTGTACGTGTTCAGTTGTACTCTTCACCACACATCTTTGACTCCAACACTCAACAGTTTTGTACTTTCAGATAATCATTATTGAGTGTTAAACATCTCATTATTTTCTCCCTTTATTTTATGTTAATGTCACAGACAGGCGAGAATCGTTCTGTTTCACCGGATTCGAACGCGGCACCGGAAAGCCGCAGTGCATCTTCGACGTGGCCTCTTCGGTTACCAAAGCGACATGTTGCTGCAGCATTGGCAACGCTTGGGGAAATCGTTGCGAGGAGTGTCCTCACGTTGGCACCAAAGAATTCGAAGAATTATGCCCCGGTGGTACCGGGTACAAACCTAATCAAGAGACTGTTATTTTGGAGGACATCAACGAATGCGAGGAGCACGAGAACATTTGTCAAAATGGCCACTGTACTAATACATTTGGTAGTTTTATGTGCTCCTGTAACGAGGGTTTCATTTTGGACGACACTAAAACCAACTGCATAGGTAATCGTTCAACTTTCAATCGTTCAATCGGTGCTTCAGAAATCTTATCAGAGACTCATGTTCAATCATTCTTATAGATATAAACGAGTGTGCTTTGCATCCGCAAATATGCGGAGTGGGATACTGCATCAACGATCAGGGGAAATATCACTGCGAGTGTCCAGAAGGATATATGGCGATGCCAGGTGGAAGTAAGTCATTTCTGTTATAATTTCGCTTATATTAGAGTTGAAAAGCAAAAAGGTATTAGAAACTAGAAAGTAAGAGTAAAAGTAAAATATAGCAATTCTATAGAATTATATATCTATTATATCTATTTCTTGTATCTATTATATACCTATTGTATCTATTTATTGTACCTCGAATACTTTGACCGAAAGACATTGTATCAGATATACTTGAATGTCTTTAATCCCATATACTAACACATTTGTAATTATACTTCCGAAACAAACTCTTTACTAAACTCTGATGCTAAACTTTAATAAATTCAATAAATATGTATTATTTTCCTAGAGGAATGCGTCGACATGAGAAAGGAATCGTGCTATCTCAGTTACGAGGGGGGTCAATGTTTCAACCCCATGATGCATCCACAAACGAAAATGTTATGTTGCTGTTCTATGGGAGCCGCGTGGGGTAGCCCTTGCGAGAAGTGTCCAGCTGAGAGAACTCGTACGTACGAAGAGTACTTTTTCAATGAACTGAAAAAATAATAATAATAAAATATTTTCAATCGAAGAAGATCAACAAATTTAAACGTTCCATTTCAGGCGAGCATGAAATTCTCTGCGGCATGGTACCCGGCCAAATAATGAATCCCATAACAAATCACACGGAGGAAATCGACGAATGCGCCCTTATGCCAACGATGTGTACTCACGGTCGTTGTATGAACACTCCTGGCAGCTTCGAATGCCAATGCGATCGAGGATACGTGTACGATCAAGATTCGCATCAGTGTATCGATGAAAATGAATGTTTGCAGGTGAAATCTTTTAAAACGTTTCGTTCTATGAATATTATTTTAAATTTCACGTATCAACATCGTGCGGACATTTTGAATTTAAAAAAAAAAAAAAATTCACACTAACTCGATGCGTCGACTGATCTGTATCAATTTATTTTCATTATTATATTAAACTTTAATTGTGTTCTCGATAATTCGAACTAGTGCACAACTAATGATCTTCGCGTTGAAAAGTTTCGATTATTTCGATTACCGAGTTCTTTCATTGCTGACATTTCTACATTATTTTATTATTTTGTTTCATTTCCTTCGTTCAAGGTTCCAAATCCTTGCAGTGGCAACGCGCAATGCATAAACAAGCAAGGTTACTTTGAATGCGTCTGCCCAGCAGGATACAAATTAGGGCTGAGTCAACGAGACTGCGTGGATATCGACGAGTGTTACGAACGGCCGGGAATTTGCAACAACGGCGCCTGCAACAACTTGCAGGGCAGCTTCCAATGCGTCTGCCATTCTGGTTTCGCGTTAACGAGAGACAGAGACAACTGCGTGGACATCGACGAGTGTCAACGCAACCCGAACGTCTGCAACAATGGAACCTGCGTAAATATACTTGGGTCGTACAAGTGCATCTGTTACCAAGGATTCAAGCTCAGCCCCAACAACGATTGCGCTGGTAAATTACATTTTGTACAATTTTCTGAAGTTCCTCTGATCATGGTCGATTGACGAGTGAAAATCGATAAATTTCGAAACAGACATCGACGAGTGTCGCATCATGCCGTTCCTCTGTCGAAATGGAAGATGTCGGAACACGATTGGCGCTTTCAATTGCGAATGTGCGGACGGCTACGTGTTGGCTCAAGACGGCCAACATTGCAGAGACATCGACGAGTGTCGCGAAGTATGTTTACCACGAGAAGGAAAGTCTGGAAAATGATTACCAATACCTAAAATCTAACTGAAAGTTAATAACAATTAACTTAATGCCTGTTTTTATATCTCTTTCAATAATTTTTATATTTTATAGTCAATATCACGAAATCGTCGAAATTTATACAAAAATATTAAAACTTTGACAACTTAGGTCAGAGTTTTACAATCACGTTAAATTAACCACTTGGATTGGAAAATAACTTTCACATAACATAACTTCGGATCAAGAGTGTGCTCGTCGATCAAATTCCAAGTGGTCGAAATAGTCCGAATAATTATCATATTAGATTCGTGTTAAAAGTAATGTAAATCACTGTATTAGATTCCAGGGCTCTGTCCATCGCCAGGAAAGTGTCAGAACTTAATGGGATCTTACATCTGTACTTGTCCCCCGGGTTACGAGTTGGACCACACGAAAAAGAAGTGCGTCGGTGAGTAAAATGCTGAAGGAACCTCGCAACAAAGTTCGATTTTTATAATTGAAATTTTTACCAGACGTGGATGAATGCGAGGAGACGCAAGGAATCTGCGAGAATGGTCGCTGCATCAACACGGATGGCGGAGTGATTTGCGAGTGTCCTGTCGGTTACAGACTGAGTGACAAACCAAATTCGATGCGGTGCATCGATGTTAGGGAAGATCTCTGTTACGATCGATACATAAGGCACTTGGGTGGACGATGTTCCCTTCCTCGAGCCGGCACCATAACGAAGAAACACTGCTGCTGCACTATGGGAAAAGCGTGGGGGAAATATTGCGAGCAGTGTCCTCCGGAAGAGAGCGGTGAATATTCCTTTCGTTTAAGCAAGACAGTTCAGTGACTTGTATAAATCATTCAGAAACTGCAAAGTTGGAAACGCTAATATTTTAAATTTATTTTGGAACTTAATACCACTTATGACCTCATGAAATTAAGCCACAAAATGTATAAATAGTCGTATAGATGAAATATATTGACATCAATTGTTCTAAAAACTTTGTTTACCAAAGTAGATAAAAAAAGATCCCTAATTAAATTTCTTTTGATAAATTTTTTATTTTTTTAAATACAGAGGAATTCAAGAGGCTGTGTCCGGAGGGGCCAGGCAGAGACGATATAGGGATCGACTTGAACGAGTGTCTCATCATGCCAGACGCCTGTGCTAATGGCGACTGTATCAACACTGATGGCTCTTTCCGGTGCGAATGTCCCTCTGGATACGTATTGGACGCGACTGGTAGACGTTGCGTGGACAACAACGAATGCTTGTCCCAACAAAACATATGTGGCAACGGAACATGCACGAATATCGAAGGTGGTTTCGAGTGTTCTTGCAACGAAGGATTCACCCCTGGAGTGAATCAAATTTGCGAGGACGTGAACGAGTGCCTGGAGATCGGCAACCAATGCGCCTTCCGGTGTCATAATGCGCCTGGTTCCTTCAGATGCATTTGCCCCTACGGCTACACCTTGGCTCCCGATGGACGACATTGTATAGGTAGATCTTTCAACGTTCACCTCTTCGCGACTTCGATCGTTTCTTTTCAATAAATTTGTGAATTTTTTTTCTTTTAGTACAATGATATTTAGTTAGGTTTAAACGTTCAAGTTTCCAGCACTAAAGATTGACTCAACTACTTTAGAATTACCAGAATAGTCAAACTGAATGGGCACAAATGATGAAGTTTTTAAACTTCAATCACAGATAGTTCTGATGTTAATAGATAGTTATAAAAAATTTGTCTTTGATTTCTTTTGTCTCATTTGTGGCAGTTCAATCGCACGATTACTTTTCCAGACGTGGACGAGTGCGCAACACCAGCGAACAATTGCAAATATCAATGCAAGAATCTTATTGGTTCGTTCATGTGCATCTGTCCACCTGGATACCAACAAATCGGTATGACAGACGAATGCAAAGATATCGACGAATGCGCAATTAATTCGGGCCTTTGCCGAAATGGTCGATGCGTCAATCTGGATGGTAGTTATCAATGTCTTTGCTATGATGGCTTCGAACAGAGTCCTGACGGAAAGTCTTGCATAGGTATCGAGAACCAAACGAGATAGTGAAACCTAATACGAATATACATAAGTTCAATAGAAATTCAATCGAAACTAATTTCACTAATTTCTAGATCGTAGAATAGGCTATTGTTTCTTGCAAACGATCGCTGGAAGATGCACGACGAGAGCTTCCGACGTGAAGACAGTAACAAAAGCGGACTGTTGTTGCACAATGGGCGCGGCCTGGGGCCCATATTGCGAGATTTGTCCTTCGAAAGACTCTGACAACTACAACGAGCTCTGTTTAGACAAAGGTTTCTCCGTAGATGGCCAAGGTATTCGAACGTATTTCTTTAAACGAAACAAATGTAATCGAGGTAATCTGATACGTAATTGAAGAGTGACAATTCTTTTCAGACATTGACGAATGCAGAACGATTCCTGACCTGTGCAAAAACGGTTTGTGTATCAACACGCTTGGTTCTTATAGATGTGTCTGCAATAAGGGTTACAAGGCGGATAAGTCTGGGACTCAATGCGTTGGCAAGTATTCGCGTGATGTTTCGTAAGATTTCGCGAAAGTGTGTGATTAATATCCACAGTTTAACGGTATTCTTCATCGAACTTCAGACATAAACGAGTGCGAGCTGACGCCAAGGCCGTGCAAATATAATTGTCAGAACACAGAGGGAAGTTTCATCTGTTCATGCCCGGCCGGTTTCATCTTAAATCCCGATGGCGTCAGTTGCCGAGATCTGGACGAATGCGCGACTGGAAATCACCTGTGCCAGCAAAATTGCATTAACACTCAGGGTAGTTACACTTGCGGCTGTCAAGAAGGTTACACGCAAGACGGTGATGCCTGTCACGGTTCGTACGATGTTACAAGACCCTGAAGTTAAAAGAACTTGCTTTTCATCAGCGATCGTTCATTCTGATGTTTCTCTAGATATAAACGAGTGCGACCAGCCTGGAACTTGCCCTAAACCGGGCACTTGCGTCAATACTCTTGGCAGTTTCCGGTGTATCTGTCCGAGAGGATTCAAGCTTGATCAATCGGGTCGATTCTGCATCGATCAGAACGAGTGTGCCGACGACAACACCTGCGAGCACGGTTGTCAGGTAGAAAACGAGATAGAAAAGTTAATAGAATTTTCTGATCGAATATTTCGAA